GGGGGGGGGGGGGGGCCACTTGCAACCCCCAGACTTCGCGGTATAAGAATGTACACAAAAGGTTGAATTTGCATAGACAATTTTCACGCTTAACCTCCTGGAAGCGGGATTGAATTTTAAGATAATACCGGGGCGAATATGCATGGATTTTTTTTCCTAGTCCAATAATAAATCGGCAGAGGCGATATTCCGGTATTTCCACCAACCCCTAACCGATATAGGTCCTCTCGAGGCCCCTATTAGCTGGCAAGTCGGCCATCCCCGGGTGCGATTTTTTTCCATAATCGTTTTTCGATAATAACTCGACTGTCTGGCTATAGGAGGCTGTTTCTACTACAGAGCTTCCAAGAGAGAATTTCTGTCTATCCCAATAGGGCTTGAACGTTTACTCGTGGCGAGTACGGGTGTGTGTCCCTGTGCGTGGGTGCTTGCAGAAACACAGGGGTTGAAAAAAAAAACATTACGAGAGAATCCAGTGCCGAGACGTCCAAAGCAGGCGTGAGAATTTTCCATCCCTCTTTTTTTCAATTCAACCTCCACTGGAAAAAGGAGGCAAATCAATTTCGATTGTCGATGATATCCACGGGATATGCGGAATTTGGGGTGAGAGCGGGGGATGGGGGGGGGTAGTGAACGGTGAAGTATATGGGTCGTTAATGAAAATACCAGAAAATTCCATGGAGGTACATAAAAAAAAAACTTTTTTTCCATTATCTTCGTTTTTTTTTTCTTTTTCATTTCCAAACGGACAACTCTTGCACAGGGGCTGTCAATAAAGGAAGCTACCCTTGTAGTCTGGCTAACTCGATTATTCGACGTGAAGTTGCGTACGAAAAGCGACAGCTCGAAAAACCACTTTCACCCTTCAGACGGGCGAGCCCTTTTCTCCAGTCCTACCCTTCGCGAGAGCAAAGTAGTACGAAACGAGCGAGATCAGTTTTAGGGGTGGTTTGTTAGATGGGTTCTTTTTTGGTCGGGGATGAGTGTCTGATGAAAATCGACAGTTTCGCAGTTTCACCCTTTCTTTGTATGAAGAGGTAGACATTCCCAATCCCTCCGAGCAAATAACGTTAAACAAGTGCGAGAGGATCTTCGTATACAAAATATTCGGACTTCCGTCCCATTTTTGGAGATGGAAAACCTGAAGACTTTTTTGGAAAATATTTGGGGATATCTGCACGAGGAAAGTTTTAAATTAAACGATTATTATCTTTCTGATTAGCTTGTTCGAGGGATACAGATATTTGTTCACGATATTCTAAGAGTATAAACAAAAAAATTACGGTTTGCTTTTTTTCTCACCAGCATTCCAAATAAAATTTTCACAATTACTCGTTCAACGAGAAAGTATATTTCAGAAAGCAAATTACCTCAAATGCACTCATCCTATTTTACAAGAAGCTTCACGCACAAATATAGCCAGCTTACACCACCCTCGACATAATTCCCTAGTTAATTACAAACTTAATCGTAATCCACCCTTAAAATTAGATTAATGAAATTTTCCTCCTCCAGACAGTTTCCTAATAATTAATTGTTCCGAAAAATCCAACGACTACCCAGAGAGTTAAAAACAAAATTTCCCAGACCTTTCAAGGTACCGAGCACACACACACAGATCGTATGGCAAAGAGGAATAAAGTTTCGCGACCATCAGCTTGGTAAGATTGCGTTTCGTGGCTGTTCCTCACACGATCAGCTGATTCGCCGCGAAACTTTTCCGAGTCTGTCTGAAACTTGTTCCCTTCGCGAATGAAAATAATCGTGACATCCTATCGAACTTTTATGTGGCGGTGATGGGGGGGAGTGGCAGGATTCTTGCGGCAAGGATATTCTCTATGGGGTTGTAAATTGCATAGGAGAATATATGCATGCACGTGGAAAAAAAGTTAGCGAATACTTTGCGATGGGAAAGTGGAAGCCGCGTCGAAGAATAAAATGGATTTGGTTTCAAGATAAAGGACCTTCCTGACAGGACTCAGTCAGGACTCCCGTTGAAACGTTTTCGAGTATTTGTTAGTGAAAGGGACACTCGGTCGTAAGCACCTCCATTTATGAGATTCGATCAAATTGCTGGACAAATCGATTTCAGGACGGAATCCCCATTGTCACGCCATAGGACAAGCTAAAGTCCCCAAACCGAAAATGCCTCTAGGGGATCCGTGAGACGTGGCAGATCACGTTGCACCCACATGACACCAACCGATAGAAGCTTCTCATAGCGAAACTTTCGCACTTGCGAAACGATCAAATATTTTTTTTAGCGAAAATCAACATTTCCCCATAATCGACATAATCGGATACATCGACGTCATCATTTCTCAAAGTACTTACAGATACGTGTACAGTGGGTTGAAAGATAAATATCGATAGTAATACAGACGGTAACGTGTAACTCGGTCTGCAATTCATCCCTTAGCCCAGAGGCCAGATAGTTCGTTCATCTTTCCCAACGACGGATGAATTCTGCGAGTCATAGGGGAGGAGGTAGTGAGTTACACAAGCCACGTGGGTGAATGACTGCCACGGGCTACACGGAATGAATGCCATAGGTTACGAACGTCTAGGTATCGCGCAGAGGGTTGGAAAAAAGTCAGTGTTCGTGTAAGGGTTGGAGTCCCCCAATGGTCATTCCGATCCCGCACGCGCTATTTGTAACTCGTATCCGACACCCCGAACCTCCACCCCCCCTCCCCCGCCAAGTTATCTCCCTCCAACTTCCGGTTCCGGAAGTCCTGAAAGCACACCATTTCGTTCCGTGACTCTCGATTGATTATACCGGAATCAAAGACCACGTTGCCGATTGCGTTACAAGGGGGACGAGGGGGTGAGAAATTTTGGAAAAAAATACCCCAGAATTTACGTGAATGAGGACTTAAAAAATAGTAACTAAACAAAAAAAAAAAGAAAAATCCTAATGGAATAAAAAAAATTTTCAAACAAATTTGTCAGATACCGGAAGTGCACTCGATCGTCGTGCCGCCTTGCTCACAATAAATGACTCTCCCGGCAGGATCGGCTTCCATAAATTCAATATTTCCTGACACGCCCCAGGGGACGACGTCTGCACAGCTACACCCTGACGCGTCAAGAATTCTTCCTACCAGTCACAGTGCACTCTCGCTGATATTACCTTTCGAGACATGCACTTGGCCCGCGAGCCCATGTACAATATACATATTTCATAACAATATCAGCTGTACCAAACAATCTTCATCTTTCTCCCAATAAAGACGTGACATCCCGTGAATCGGTCACGAGTCCAACGCGAATCCCAA